CATATGTCACAACCCATTTTCCTTCATCATATTCATCGAGTGTCAGGTTAATAGGTCTGATCTCCTACGTATCCTACGCCTAAAATGACTAAGTGAATAGCCTAAACCAACTTTACAGTGGATTGAACATTGTCTCACATAGATAAGGCAAACATCTCTCGAAAACACCTTTAAAGGCATTGTAATAAAAGTAAAACTTGGATGCTGATATAAAGTGAAGTAACATTTTAGTTAATTTCTTAGATGCATCTCAAAGTGTGACTGTATTAATTGCTAAATTGCACTCCAAACCTAATTCATTGGCTGAAGTCGTTACAAGGTAAATTCACGACCTTGACAGATGGTCTACATATTCCTAATTCTCTTATTTTTGTGATGCGTATTGCAGAATTCTCCATGTACCTGGAACGATTACTGAATCAATCCAAGTGAATGTATGGGATGTTGACTTGATGCTAGAAGAGTGACAATATGTATCACAAATACAAGAAAATTACTAATACCTACATCATAATAGAAGAGTAAGAAATTATCACTTGACTATCTGAGATAGCCGTGGTTCGGCAGACTAGTATTTATACTGGGTGATGATTGAAGGTGAAATGAAAATTTGGACTACGGCCGAATTCTAACTAGTGACACCTAGTTTCTGGTCCAATGCTCTACCAATCTGATGCTCTCCCTCTCTAATTCAGTTACATTTGGATTGTGATGAGAAGTCCCTGACTAGGCAGCCAGTATGAGCACGATCAAGCGGTGGTAACGCGTCACAAATTCACATAGTAGTTGGTCAAAACCTATGGTGACTGAAGTGAAATAAAAATTTGGTCTGCAGTCGGACCTCGTAGCTCAGTTGGTAGAGCGAAGGGTAGGAAACTTGATGGTCGCTGGTTGGAATCCGACTGTGGTCCAGCTTTCTCATTTCACTTTCAGTCATCACCCACTATAAAAGAGTAAGAAAGTTGCAGAGTTACTGAGGCATGACTACGGAAAATAACTTGGATTCTAAACATTATTGTTTCACAAGCTTAAATGGAATTGGAATCAGACTGCTTAATTCTCATTTTGTACAGAATGATGAGTAAGAAAAAAATGATTTATTGTATTTGCATCTAGTAAGAACACTCTATACTAAGGTGTTAGTATTCAGGAACTGAAGAGTAATCAGCAAAGCTAAGTTTAGAAGACTTCTTCACTTAAAAATAGGACATGCTACACACTTTATGCAAGCTTAAATATATAGGAAAACATTCAGGGTGTCAAACTAGATGCTTGAGATAGGCATAACTTTTAATCTCTTTTAGAGTGTACTTCACTCCCCAAGGAATAGATAATATTTTTATAAGCAACGTTTCATACAAAACCTGTCACAGTTATTGTGATGCCCTAATTAACATCTCAATATGACTGGGAACAACATTCCTCTTCTACAGGCTAACTTCATCTACCCATATATATAATATACAGTTAAAATAAGATGAAATATGATCTGATGTGTTGGAAGGTCTTATTAAAATCGCCCTTTCAATTTGTTTTAATCTTTTAAATTTATCTTTTGAACGTATCATGAACCCTTGCACACTTTTAAAATGATTTCGAACTAACATTTTTCAAGTTAACAACAAAACAAAGAGTAAACGATAGGCTGGTAAGAAATGGGTTCATAAATACACAGAAATACGGTACATAACTATTCCTTGGATAAATATGTCGAATTGCATATTTTGGTACTGGTAGAACAAACTACCACTACCGCCAAAAATTACGCTCGGTTTTCTGTTCATTCACCAGTCCAAACCAGAGGCTAATATAATAGTGGGTGTCTGTTTGACATTGTGGCTTTTTATTACTTTTATTATTAACCTTATCCAAATGCAATACTGATTTCGCTTCAAGATATTGTTCATGGGATGAATCTGTTGAAGTATTACATACTGAGAATTCTATACTGTATCACACGCGTTGCTTGGAATAAAGCAATTATTGTTATTGTAATTGAGTTGGTGTCAGACATTTGAGGGAAGTAATTTACATTCCCGATTACTTTTCAGGTGATTGACAATGGAAATCTCAGTTATGCTTTTGAAGTGAAGACAGGTTGACAGATAAGACAAGGTTGCCGACCACTATCACGGATCATCTTCCTGAATGCAATCTACTGAACCGGACTAGATCATGCAACAAACGGTGAGGAGGAAGAAGATGGAGATTTGTTGTTTGACCAATGAAAAGACTTTAGAAGAAGATTTGGATTTCACCGATGATGATTTATGTCTAATATCTTGTCGCACAAACTCGAAGATTTACGAGTGAAAACTAACAATTTAGGAGAAGAAGCAGGGCAGGGGAGACCGGACTTCCTTCAGGTGAACGTGGGGGAGACATAGGTGATGGAGATACTCAACCAACAGCAACAACAAAAACAAAAATAAGGACCAATCACCATAGAGTGGAACCGGAATTGCAAACGACGAGTTGTGCGTCCCAGCTGAGGTTGACATGGAGAAGATCATGTGAGGAAGAAATGAAAGCTTCTTGGCAGTCGTGAAGCCATGCTGAAAAGACTACATAGAAGAAGAAATGGTGACGTGCTACTGAAGCCTTACATTCCACTAGAAACTCAAGGGACAGGTAATAATAATAATAATAATAGTATGACACTAGTTACTTTTCAGCTTTGATACCAAAGTTGTTGAATGAGGCGATAATGCAGAATTAACGCTTAGTACAGCTTTACAGCGTTAAGCTCATATGGTGAAGCTGAAAGTTGTACCACTTTTCAAAAAAAAAGTAGTGATACTTGGACTTGCTTTCAGCAAGCTATAAACTTCTAAACACTACGTATAAAATCGAACAAAACGTTACTAGGATAGTGAACAACTATTATATTACAAATCCTGCAATAAACAGCTTATGTATCTAAAATTTCTAATTTTAGACCAACTTTTATGTCAAAATTTCTTAATTGCGGTACAGTTATATCACAGCAGGATTCCTTATTCCTTGGAATTTAAGAAAAGTTTTTTCTACATTGAATTGTATGTGTAAAGAAAAATTTGTCCATGCATTATTCATAGTTAGAGATATTTGTAACTTGAAAGGCGACGTGCAATCAATTACGTTTAAACTAAGCTTAAAAAAGATTTTTGCTTTTTAACTGTGCTTGAATGTATTTATTCAGAATTCCATGAATTATATTTTGTCTTTAACTTTGAAATGTTATAAAAGTCAAGATAAGATAGTAATGATTAGATCTCAAGAAAGTTTAATATTTAGAAGTATTCATCATGGACTGACATCAGTTGGGGAACCACTGAACATCTGGAAGCATTGGACAGCTTAATATTCATTTAAAATCCAATCGTTTCTAAACTATCAGAAAAACTGCTAATATTGTTGCAAATCTAGTTGATAATCATTTTGACCATTTGGCAGACTAGTATTCAGACTGGATGATGACGATTGAAGGTGAAATGAGAATTTGGGCTGTGGTTAGATTTCAACCAGCGACAACCGGGTTCTCTGTTCGATGCTCTACGAACTGAGCTACGAGGTCCTACTCCTCACCACATCTTTATTCCACTTCAATCACCATGGATAGTAGTGCATCACGAAGTCATATGGTAGTCGGGCAAAACCCATGGTGATTGAAGCAAAATAAAAATCTGGTGAGGAGTCGAATCTCGTTGCTCAGTTGGTAGAGCATCGGGCAGAAGACCCGGTGGTCTCTGGTTAGAATCTAGCCGCAATTTAAGTTTTCATTTCACCTACAACCATCACCCAGTAAATCTAGTTAACAATTTGCATTTAGTATAAGAACCGCATCCTTATCTACTGACAAAAGCTTGATTTACTTACAAACGATGTGTAAGAAGTACAATTTTATCTTAAATGTGTGCGTCAATGAAAAAAGAGATTTTGGAGAAGGGAATTGTTATTAACTGCAAAAACGTGGGGTGTTTCTTCTTAAGATCATTATGTTTTAACTGTCTACCATTTATTCGCTACCATTTTACTGGTCTCATTTTAAAGTACCCTTAACTTAGTAAATCATACATTGATTCTCGTTAGTTTGTGGAGTTCTTCATCAGATAGTTTCAGTATTCCAGCATAAAGCGAAAAATGAAATTAGGAAACTACGAAATTTAAAATTCATGTCTAGGAAGAGCATAAGAATATAAGAGTAAAACTTTTGCACTGTGGTAGAATGTAGTTCCATTTTTTATTGATTTATTAGATTTATCACAGTGGAAGAGTAAGTATAGTTTACTGGATAACGTTTCGGACATAATTTATTGTCCATAGTCATATTAAGATAGCTAGGCAACTTTGAGATATCCTTTATATAGTCCTAATTATCTCGTCTCTTTGTGAGATGGGTAGTAAGATTTTCCATATATTCAGAATAAGTGCCGAGTCATTCTTGTTGTATGTGTTAGGTGTTGATTCGATAAACAAAAGAAGAACATAAGAAATAAGGAAGTAATTACTTTTGCCTTTTGTAATACTGCAGCTGAATTATGTCATAAAGATGAAAGATTTTTATAACTACTTATCAGGATCATCAAATTTTGGATCCAAAGTTATTCAGTAAGTGGTACATAAATAATTTATGATGAGGTAATTCTCATCACCTCAAATAATATTTCATATGAAGACGTTTTCAACTGATTCGGTTTCATGAAGTCTGCCAGTTGGTACTTCAAAATGAACGTATTAATTTTCAGCTTCTTAATACAAGGCAAAGTACTATGAGGATATAGGAAGTCAATCATGTTTCAAATATTTCAGTAGATTGAAAAACCCAAGCAATCTAAGACAAGTAAAACTTCATGATGATAGGTTGGTGATATTTTGTGCTATCACTTGATGAGGCTTTTTACAGTCGAAATTCTAAAGCAATGACAAATGTTCACTTTTTAGGTGGAGCTACAAAACTGCAAGGGACTACCAAAACATTTTTAACTGGGTATAAAGATGTATCAACTCAGAATATAAATTCAAAAGTGTTTAATGTTTATGGTTTGTAGGGATTCTTGTAAAAAATGCAAATGATATGATAAATTGATAAATTCAGCTTTTTCAGGAGAATCATAAAGGATTGAGGAACCATTAGAATCGAATATTTTCCGTTCCTAAAGTAAAGAAAATGGAAAATTAATTGGAACATATAAATATATATATAAGAAGTGAGTAATTCATTTTGATATTGAGACTGAATATAAATGTTACAGCAATAATGAGCGATAATACTAATTTCAGGAGGTCCGTGTGCAGCCAACAGTATATTTTTTCTTAGAAGAATATATAGTTCTATGACGATGTAGAGAATATTTGTAACTCAGGAGGATAATTGGAATGATATTGTATTCTCTGGACTGGATGACGTAATCGTCAAGCTTTCATTACCATTCTAGACAACATCATCAGCAAAACCTTCAGAACGAAGTGAGCTCAAAGGCTTTCTCCACAATTAGCTTAGTAGCTTGTCCTGATAGCAGTGTATGTGCTTGTTTCTGTCAAAATCTTGTCATTGTATCCATAGTCGTTTCAACACGTTGTCCTGCTGACGTGAACCGTAACCTTCATTTTGTTTCTTATTGACTGATAGATTCTGTCAATGTCAATGTGCCTGTCAATCGCTGACTCATCTGAATACCAAGCTTCTAAGACTTCTCCAACCATCTTTGTATTTCCTCTGTTCACGATGTCCACAGTCCCAGTCCCAGTCAACTTCATGGCCTTATGCATTAATATGAGTGAAGATATTTCATGACGCATTACTGCTACTTAGTATTCAGGTAGAAGGATATGACTGAGGCAACCACGATGTCCGGTGTAATATTTTTCCCATTTTCCGCAGTTTATTTTGTGGATAACGTTTGGTTTGTCTTCCTTTGCTATTGTTTCTTGTGGCCTGCATAACAGAGAGTGAAGAGATTTTGTGTGCCTGTGAAATACAGCGTTCCCGAACGGCTTCAATAATCTAGTCGTGATCTCGGAGATGTTCTTCATGTAGGGTGAGGTAATCCGTTTGCTGGTTTTTGTGGGTGAGTTCTTGGTTGACGATGAATTATGTAAACATCTTTTGATGAAATTGCGTAGTTAGCTGTTCGTCTACGAAAAATATTGTTGTTGTTGTTATACAATTAATTTTGTGTGCTGTCGGGTTGTTGCTACTATGGTTGAGGATTTGATCCGTATGAGTTAGTTTTCTGTTTGCTTTCATTTCTTATTTCCCGGGACCCACTCAAACGATTACAATATCATATTGCAGCTACTTATGGTCCACTGAGTGGTTGATATTACTGATATGTGAAACATATGAAGACCTAGTTAGCAGACTACGGAATGATGATACTTTAGTGGCATGCGATTGACATTCAACAAAAGGTCTCTTGGTCTATAGATATTTGAGCTAATATGGTTGCTTTTTCAAGATGAAACAATTCTTCGACAGTCTCTGCTCTCATTGTAAAGACGATTTTCAAAAACGCCAACCCGTGTATTCCATAAGGTGACCTATTATTCACTACTCAGTATGCACAGTTTGCTTGACTTATATATTTTAGGTTTTCGTCATTATTTATATACATTGTGTATCACAAAACCTGTAGTTATTATATATTTCGACTAGTTGATTAAGACAGATGGAATGAGTGTGTATTCAAATTATTCTTCATATAAACTAACATACCCAGTGTGAGGAAATAAAATTTTCAAAACTGTCTCGTAATTAAGTAAAACAGTTTTAAGCAGCAGATGAGCAAACACCTAGTCTTATAAAAAATACTTCTGTTCAGAGAGGAATAAGCTGTTTCCAAAATCTTCTGCCTTATATAACACTGCTGTCAATTTAATCATACCAGACAGACATTTGTTACACACATTTATACTGAAGGTATATACGATGGAAAACAGAGAATGACTACTTGAAGGAAATGAAATAAAAACATACTATCAAGCTACATCTGCACTTTTTTTTAACCATGTTCGAATTTCTAAAGGAAAGCCACTGTGTAACCCCTAATGGATATCAACTTATATATATATATATATATATATATATATATATATATATATATATATATAATATTACTTTGCCATGTGAAATATTTAACAGGCTATGTAATTGTCCAATTTATGCTATTACACATAACGAATACGTTTATATTTTAATATATCCGGTTTGTGGAAGCATATCATATAAGTATGGATCAGTTCAGTGAGATAGCTTCACTTTCTGCACTATATATATATAATACAAAACTATTCAGTCAGACCAAGAACAGATTTGCAAATATTTAGTCTTCCCTTAGGCTAATATTCAACATTGTTTCATATAGTGATAGGGAATTCATTCACTTTAGGGTTATATATATATATATATATATATATATATATATATATATGCATAAAATTATGCATATGTGTATACACTGAAGGTGTCATTTGACCAAAGACTTAAAATTCAGTAAGATTTATTCAGTTCATATTGTTGTACATTTGTCCTGTATTATTCAGTAGATGCAAAATAGTATAAATATTACAAGATTGAATAACAAACAAATTCCTATTTAAAAATTGAAATACAATGACTGAAGTCACAATAAGTAAGCGAGCTATTTCTAAATTGAGTAGATGGTAAATGACTTGATTGTAAAGTTTCAATTAATTTTTCATTGAAAAGAAAGTGATAATTCACTTTCCGGAGGTTTGTATGTCAACCTGCTTGACTGTTGCTCTACCAAAAGTTAACCACAATTATAGATGATATCAACTTCTTCCCTTTCAACATTGTTTTAATCTTTTCAATATGTCTTTATAAAAGTATCACGTTCTGTTACACATCTTTGAAAAAAACAAAAGATGATTTCATGTTAGATGCTGATGAATTTTTAAATGCACAATAGTACATCCTATTTCTGCTCCTTGGATACATTGCTTGAATTGTAGTTTCTTTTACTGGCTCAATGAGCCGCCATACCAAATTTACATGCTCTTTTTCAAGTTGGAGGAACAAAGGAAACCCAGGACCCCACCGGGGATCGACCTTCAGGGTGCGCACTGCTGAGGAGTCCCATACTAGGACGAAACAGCTGTCCATTGCTTCCAGCTTTCCTTTGTTCCTCCAACTGACGTCAGTCTACGATGAACAACAACTTGAAATATTTCCAAATCCCCACAGCTCCGTCAAAATTCAATACTCTTTCATTCATTTTTCATTCTAGACTGGAGGTAAATCCAACACAATGACTTTTGATGGTGCTATGTTCTATGAGGTGGGTCACTGAAGCCTTCTATAATCTCACAAGCCTACAGCATCACTTCACTCTGTTATACAGGCCAAAAGATATGTTATCGAAAAAAATAAACTACAGAATCTGCTAAAAGAACTGCATCGGACAGAGTGGTTGCCTTCGTCATATCCGTCTAGATGAACAACAAGAAACAGTGAGGTGTCATGATTTACCTTCGTTCATATCAGTGCATATTGACAACTGTGGACATGAATGTGACTATGAAAATGTGGAAACAGTGAGTAATGGGAATACAAAGATGGTTGAGGAAGTTTTAGAAGCTTGGTATTTAGATCACTCAACGATCGACAGACATGTTGGCGTTGACCCAATCTATCAACCAATGAGAAAAAACAAGAAGGTGAAATCTCAGGTCATCGGCAGAATCAGTCAAATGAAATATTGAAGCAATGATAAAATTTTACCAGAACTAACCAATCATACACAAAGCTATCGAAACAAGCAAAGAAAACCTTATTGCTCGCTTCTTTCTGAAGTTTGTGGTGATGATGTTTTCTAGAATGACAGTGAAAGCTTGACGATTATGTCATCCAGTTGTGAGAACACAACACCATCAAAATCCTCCTTCTGAGCTACAAATATTCCCCATCATCCTAAAAAAAATAACGTTTTCTCTTGAAAATATTGTCTTGGAATCGAATTTGTTGAAATATTACACGGTGAAAATACCATACTGCGTAAAACATATTGTCTGGAATAGACCGATTGTGATTTTTATGGGAAAACAGGAAAGAAAGTGAATAAAAGGTGTGTTGCCCATAGTCAGAATGTTTCAGTTGCTTAATGAAACACGTTGTATTTACAAGTGGAAGTACATTGTAATAATTTAGTACACTAGTATATTTATGAAAGGTTATATATTATTATCATATATAATTTGTCCCTTAGGTTCCTAGTGGAACATAGAGATTCAGTACCACATCTCCATTCCACTCTCTTCTCTGCAATCTTTTCAACCTGGCTCCACCAATGCCCACAACCTCTCATTTCTTCCTCACACCATCTCCTCCATCTCACCCTCACCTAAGATGCCCAACTCGACGTTTCACATCTGGGTTCCACTCGACGACCTGGCCTGGCATGTGATGTCCCCCAATGGTCTTCTCAGTCTCTGTCCAATACAATCCATCTCCATTTTCTGCTTCTGCATATTTGTTGAGTGATAAGTTCTTGGTTGGTTCTTTGCCAGCCAGCTAGCCGGCCAGCCAGCCAGCCAGCCAGTCAACCAGAGTTCCTCCTTGCTTATTCTTAATACTCTGTCCATCTGGTCTTCAATGACCAGCCAACGTAGGCGGCAGTTGTTGATGAATGTCTACAGTTTGTTGGAAATCGCTTACGTGACACACCAAGTCTCTCAACCATCACATGGAAGCACTGACTTCACTGACATTGGTGTTGAAAATCCGGATGTTGTTCACGCTTTATGCTGAATGCAGTGCAGTGCAGTGCAGTAGATCTCCACACTGATTTCAGGTTAATGAATGTCTGTCTTGCTTTTCCAATCCTGTCTGGCTTTGACGTCCTCATCTGTGCCTTGGCCTAGTGTAGTTGAAACGGTGCTGCCTAGATAGGTGAGAGAGGCCACTTCCTTTGAATTTCTCCCATTGATGGTGATTGTAACTTGTTGTTGTTGGTGGTGGGGTTGCTTTGGTATCATGATCACCTCCATCTTCTCTACGTCCACTTGATGGAAATCCAGTCTTTGCTGCCTCTTCTGTCAACTTGTTTGATTTTGTCTGTAGATCTTCGAGTTTGTGTGACATTAGACACAAAATTTGATTTCTTTTATACACAATATCATTGTTATTAGTTTTTCGAAGCTTTATCAGAATGAACCTTAATACTTACGTGAATAATCACTTTCAGAAGCTTATTGTACAGAGGAATATAGACTTATGACTTGAAATTTTAGCCAAAGGTTCAATGAATTAGATAGTGGAAACAGGAGATTAAAAAAAGTTTTCCTTCACTGAAGTATTTATAGTTATAATCCAGTCTTCCAAATGGATAGGTGAAGAATGGTTTTAAAAGTAAATAAATAGACATAGTGAAATCAAATAAAGTTTCAGCAACATAAATATTTACAAGTGGTCAGAGAACTTGTTCTCCTCAGCCTCTTAGCTAATCTGCCAGAAACTGTTTCTTTTTCAAAACGACTACACAGACACAGAATATGAATTGGTTAGTTTCAGAAATCGTTTTCTCTATGGTTAATGGCCAAATAAGTTTATCATAAATAATCTCAGTACTTGAACTCGATATCTTGAACATGGATCTTTAAGCAATTGTGACCAAATATCTCATTAAAAGTTGACACGGTCAGCGCATAGTTCAAATACTCACATCTTTCTTTCGAGTATTTTATGTTGACACTTGTGTGTAATTGCGTTCTTCAGAATGAGCTTAAAAGTACTATATCTCCATTCTGTTGAAGCAGTTAAGCAAAAAGAAATTCTGTTTCACTCGTATTCCCTGATATCATATGGTTACATAAAATATCGACTTATCTGTAAATGTATCTGGATCATCCACTTTGCACGCAAATTGTTATTTTCACAGATGGTAAATTATAAGAGAAAATAATATCGTATGTTTTTGCCTGTAGTATCACGTCGCTGTTTGGACCAAACTGACTAAGAAATGGCTTTTGTGACTCGGTGGCCTGAGGGATAACGCTTTGTCCTTTGAAGAGATTAGTTCCGGGTCCGAATCTTACTGGGAACAACATCCCTAACAGAAACGCAGGTACATCTCATGGATTAGTCCCAATTAGGACAAAAAAAGTGTGTCATGGATTCCACTGCTAGCCATTATCCATCATTATCATGCTTTGATATTGTGTGCTAAATAAAGTTGAGTAATATGTTCTCCTTTGAAGAGTGTCGGTAAGTTCAGTACCGTCTCTTATCCCCGTATAAAGTTTGCGCTTAGGTATTCAAAAACTTAGGTTACCGGAAAACTCTCAGTCGACTTATTCCCCTAAGAAATTTCAGCCTATTTTTTTGTCTAATATGAAAGCTGCATATACGTTATCTCTTTGTATACACCTAATCAGTTGTTTTATTTCAGCAAATCGAAGAAATACTTCACAATGATTTTTAGTGACATAAGATGTCTTGTCTGATGAAAATGATTCAAATTCTCAAGGACGCTTGACTTGAAAGAAAACTGACATTTAGCTTCGAAGTAATGGCTGAAAGAAAAGCATGATGAATTGAAGATGACTGTGAATTTATTCACCCTTTTTTGAAGAGTGAATACATGAACGTTAAATCAGATAAAAATGCTACCAACAAGCTTTAAAGTACACACTTATAATTTAATAGTTACTTGTGTGGTTACTATATATCATAAAAGTAAATATTTTTGGATAAACATATGCAGATTAGCAGTATACTATTATGTTCAACTAAGGAACAAAAACTTCAACTTTTTAATTACCTGTTTTTGCTTGGACAACGGTTGAAAGTCAACTATTATTTCAAGGATGTCACTTTTTTTAATAGAATATTATTGTATGAAACTGTTGAAAAATCCACATTTCACAACAATAGGATCTATCTTAGTCTGTTTATTAGAAATATCATACAGTGAAACAATAACATTTACTGGATAACGTCTTGGACATAATTTATTGTCCATATTCATATTCATTGGATCTATCCCATTGCAGTTTTAATCCTTCTATGTTCTTGATGCCTATTGGTCCATTAAATAGGCATATGCTTGCCTATATACAAACACATATATCATAATATGTAAGGGTAAATTAGTTATCTTGATCTGAACAATATTATTGATGTGAATATATTTGAAGTAAAGAATTAAAAATAAAATGTTCATTGTAAAAACTGAAGATATGATGCTGGAAATCTTTTATTTTCCCCACCCTAATATACTTGATTCCCTCAGCGCTCCTGATGAGTTCATCATATTCAAGCTTAAGTTATAATTATCATAACATGTTTAAACACACTTCTGAGTTGGAAGCGAGTTATGGAAATTTTGATTTTTTCAGTCTAGGGGTTTCTGAGGATTTACTGGTATTCATCATGGACTGACATCAATTGTGGGTTCGCACTGCTGAGGAGTCCCGTATTGGGACGAACCAGTTGTCCAGTACTCCTTGGTTCCGAATATTCTTCCAACTGATATCAGTCCATGGTGAATATCAACTTGAAAATCAATAAATCCCCACAATCTAGTGACGAATAGCTTCGACAGATGATCCCTGAAGTTCCAATGAGAAATCGTGACCCTTGGGGCAAACCTGGTAGATGTGAGGACATATACGCAACGATGATATTAGGTGACGGTCGCGCTCTTTCGTGAACTGACAGAATTTGGAAATATGGACCAATGGATTCCTACACAGTGACTCAATGGTAACTTACTGGCCACGGAACTTGAAGGTCATGATTTCGATCCCTGGCGAGTGCAGGGTAATACATGCGCATTGCTGAGGAGCCCTATATTGTGACGAAACAGTTGTCCTGTACTCCCAGGTTTCCAATGTTCCTCCAACTGATGTCAGTCCACGACGAATACGAACCTGTAATTTTGATTTCATTATACAGAAAGAATGATTTTTGTAGGTGTGACGTACAGTTCGTAATGTTACTGAATTAGTTCTGTTCGCTCAAATAGAAAATTTTTTGCAATATACACCTTTCTGATGAGTAACTCATTATCAATACTATTGGTTTTTGAGCTTCACAGATGATATAATATCTTTAGTCTCCATTCTTAGTGAGTGAATATACAGAATCATTGTTTGTTGTTAAAGAATCCTCTGGCATAAACTGGGTGGCTTTTCTAAATTAAGTTAATGTTTTCAAGATTGATCTTAGTTTCTTGAATAAAACAATAACAGTGATATCCACATTCCTTAAAAATAATATCTATGATAACCATGTTCACCTGTTCAGTTTTGATTTTGTGAGTTTACACATGCTTTGAAGACGGGCGAATAATGAAATTCAGGATGACAGATTTGACTGTGTAAAATACAAATACATATTGGCAAGTTTATACTAAATCATTCATTGTTTAGTAGTTTTCAACTGGCAGAGTCTGTTTGAGTCTACAGTACTCTAACTGCATTCTCCTGCGGAGTATTCAAAGTCTCTTGTTTTAGAAACTGGTACAGTTGACTTCAAAATGCACAATGAAACAAGTGCATAAAATAATGAGATACAAGTTCGCAAAGTTCCAGATGTAGCAGTAATTTTGTTTTCTTTAAAACCTTGCGACATTATTGGTCACTTAAATTTTGTCAACAAATCTAGTTGTTCGTAAAATTAGTCATTACAATGATGGTCTTTATTATCACAGAGCAATCTTCATAAAAGTCTATGTCACAACCTAGATTTGTTACTTAAAAATGTCCATGATCTAGTTTGGATACTGCCGCCTACGGGAAACCAACACATTTCAACAGGTAAAGAAACTCCAGGTCATCTCGTCCAACGCCAGTTAAGGTAGGTTCAGTGAACTGTCTAAATAATGGAGCTAGAAATCTCCCTAGTCAGTGTAAAGGACTAAACAATGAACTGAAACACATCAAAGAAGCGCTAATAGATAATAATTATCCTCTGCAGTTTACTAAGCAACTCGTACGATCACATACGAAACGAAATAATAATAGTAACACGAGTACGTATAACAACCATGACACGAGTGTGTTACCCTATAAGCAAGAAACATGAGAAACTTTATGTAAGCTTTTTAACAAGGCTGGAATCAGGGTGGCAGTTAAACATACTAACTCACTCAGAGATAAGCTTTGTCGGCTAGCTTAAGGATCCGACAGATTCAACTGAGCAAAATAATCTAGTCTATCAAATTCTCATATAATGACTGTGATGTGAAGTACACAGGTGAGACTAGTCAGCCAGTCGGTGTCAGTTAGAAAAGGCGAACATAGGAACTTGTCTAATATAGAATGACAGACCTAAATAAGATCAGTAATTTGGAAAAACAACTTGGATGTTGCAATGCATACACTGACACACAAGTTCACCATTGGGTGGGATAAAACCACTGTACTTGAGTCGAATATAATTAAGTAGGTAGGCAGGTAGAGAGAGAGAGAGACAGACTGATTACTGAATCCTTGTTCATCAAATCAACACCCAGCCAGCAGATGAAATAGAAATGACGTAGCACCCATAGCAGAGATATGGAAAATTTTACTATCAAACGGAAACAAAGAATATGCAGTGACAGAACCATGAGAAAATCAGATATCGAAAGGAGTGTGAGTATATTGATATAATTATGAGGAGTGATAATTTATGCTTGAAACGTGATCATAAAGTAAATAATTAGTGTATCATACTGTGTATTCTGAATCATATAAACAAACCTAATATGGAACTACATTCTACCACACTGCCCAAGTTTTACGCTTAAATTAATTCATCACCCAACTTCAAAAAAATTGTCAAATAAAGAAAATTCTGCCTGACAACAGTCTAATCTTATCATTGAAAATTTCAACTATACATTTCAGAAAATATAGTTCATTGTACAACAGTTACTGGAATGTTATTTTACTGTTGGATTATTGTATTACAGTTTTGATATAACCGATTTCTTTTAAGAAAGTACAATTAATACTTGAAGACAGATAGGACACTCATTGAACAGCATAAAATGTTAACAAATACTTTATTATCTTAAAGTTTCTTCGTATTTTACTGATTTCCATTGTTATACATTATTACTTAATGTTTGCAGATTATAGTCAACATTTCAACTATGTCCACAACTATTTTCATATGCTACTTTCAATGATTTGAAATAGAACAGCTTATAGGTGTTTGTTAAAAAACAGTAAAATTAATGTTAGGGGTGATGGCTTCAAACTGGGTAATATTTAAAGTTCAATAGTGACAATATGACAGATTTTTTAAAAGTCATTTTTGATATTTAACACACTTCAGTATGGTTAATAGTAGTTTGAGGGTGGCGTCAAATACTATACCTTTGGATTATACAAGTCTAAGAAACAAATGATCGATTGGTATGTAGATTTTTCGACAATAACTGCTGAAACCATAAAATTAGCAGTACAAATAGTTAGCCATCGGAATAGTCATTTTATTGTGCTTGCTTGCATCGTAGCTTTGAAAACCACAGTCGACATTAACATAGGACCAGGAATCATTGTAAAGAGGTTCAGGCTGCCACACCTTGCATCACCATGTCAGCGAACAAAGCAGTAAGATCAAAGATAAAGAAATAAGAATCGGTCAAAAGAACTGGAAACCAATCAAAGAGAGGAAGGAGAAAATGCTGAACTCAATATGATGATTAACATAAAGAAAATGTGTGAATGCATCTGCGCCACTTAGCCATATCACCTAGAGTTTCCAATCATTGGTATATTTTATCAAGCTGATCTCAAGCGGAAAGTCTAACTTTCTTCACATGGCTCAAACCAACAATCAGAGATTTCATCCAATGATGCCACACTTTAGTCTGGCCCGCCCAAAACGTTTTTCTAGTCTAAACTTTCTCAACCAACATTTCACGACGAGGCAGATGGACTAGCTGTGCGTAACACACCCCAAGTTACCTCAGTCGATGAAGGTTCACAACCACATCAACTGACTTATCTTTCTTAGCTAAAATCTACACTTAGTTTATGCGTTACTCATGTGACACTATAACGCATAGCCTATGCTACGTTGATGGTGGTTGAACACCTGAAGCTTCCATATGCCTCTAAATTTGATGCCACGTATCACATCGATACAGTTGAACAGAGAGAACTGTAAGTAAGTGATGTGTTCAGCACACTCAACCGCTTCACTCAAATTTAGCTGCGACACTGCTGAAGAACAGCTCTAGAGCAACAATTTGTATCTGGTAGTGAGAAACGCATCCTAACAATCTTAAGTCACCACTTAAGTGTGGAAAGACTCCACATCTTGTCACCGTCCTCACTAACAGGACTGTGTTATCTGAATGTCCTAGAAGTACTAAGGTTTCATTTGTGATGAGATCAGTCCCTGCAAAGTCAGAGGCAAGAAGGAGACCTCCACAAGTAAATCTATGAAAATGATTGAGAATGGAGGGAGTGAGGATCCCTGACGGTGTATACAGTTCACCTGACAACTCACGTAGACTCTAACACGCCCACGGGTGTTCTAGTAAACAACCTTTAACAGAGTGATGTGCTTACGTGGCACATACTATATGAACCATGATCGACGGAGAAAATACCACCTTCTAGTTGTGAAATGCAGCTTATATCAGACATAGGTAAATGTGTTTGTATCCGAGAACCTGGTGGAATATGAATATCTGGTCATTTACTGCTGTCATTGTAAAGTTGCGCTTACCACGATTTTGTTGCTGAGGTTTCTAGCGTTCACTGAGACTCAGGCACACAGGTGCTAGAACCAAAATGTGTTCAAAATCCACACAGTTGTTCCAGAAGGAGCAGCAACCGTTTACCGACCGTATCCAGAGATAAGTGATATCAGTATGGTTTATTTGTGTCTATTTCTGACTCGGCAGATGCTACGTTACAAAAGGTCTCCTACTGTCTGAATTTCATGCTGGCCAACCAATACTAGGCTGTTTTCTTAGCGCAGTTGTAGCAGGTGATCACCACTATCTATATGTTTGGCTGGGATTCCAAAAATGTGTATTTCTGCTTGACTTAGCCTACCCTCTTGCGCACTGAAATCGCTCACTATATCCACCACATATGAAAGCTTGGCTTTCAGTAGAAGTTTAGACAGTCTTCGATACAACTCATCCTTCCTTTCAACACAAATGTAGTCAGTGTGTGCGTAAGGAGATATCACAAACATAATGGCTGGGTTCATCATTCTTTTCAGTCAAATAACGTACAAGCAAAAGTCAAGTGATAGTAATAACAAAGAAAATTATCATATTACCTCATTGAAAAAAATCACTTCTCGATACCGAAGAAACTCTTGATAAATTGAAACATTGAATGGTGAACCAAAATTTGAACATATTCAGTGAATCTTTCATATTTCACCGTTGACTTTAAGCGAAATACCTATTTAAACTGTTATGAATACTAAGCGACCCAGTAGCTCAATGGTAACGAGCTGGTCATGGAACCCGAAGGCCCTGGGTTCGATCCCTGGCGGGGCAGGGTCACTAGTATACACTGCTGGGGTGTCTCGTACTAAGACGAAACAGCTACATTCCAATGCTTCCAGATTTCCAATGTTTCTCCAACTGATGCCAGTTTATTATGAATACTAACTTGAAAAAATCACTAACCCCCCCCCCCCCCCACATACACACCAAATTATATTGGACCAAAAGAAGCGTTTCACATCATCTTGTTCTGATGCTACATTATTCCATTCAAAGTAAATGAATAAAGAGTGGAAATAATTGATGTTTTATATTTCATTCTCATTTCCTATGTAACATAAAAGTTATTTCAGACTGCAGGTATAATTTTATAATTAGTTTTTGCAATCTGGCTAAACTGGATGAAATATCGAAAGGTCAAGGAAGTGTGGAACGTTTCGATCATTAATCTATGTTAAATATCATAAGTGTTGCTTATTAAGTTGAAAACAGTTGATTGTTAGCAGTTATGAAAAAGCAGAAGTTATTAATAAACCATAGTAAACTTTTTTGGACTACAGAAAAATTAAAAGATTCACAGTATCATCCCTTTTAGTGTCGATTTAAATTGGTGGTCAGTTCCAATCGAAAATAACTTGTTCAACAAATTGTTTTCAAGTTGTTACTCATCGTAGACTTACAACAGTTGGAAAAACAATAGAACTTGAGAGCACTGGACAGCTGTTTCGTCCCACTTGTATGGGACTCCTCAGCAGTGTGCACCCACAAACTCGCCAGGGATGGAACCCGTGACCTTCAGGTTCCGTGGCTAGCACGTTACCATTGAGCCACTAGGTCACAATCCAATGGTCCATATTTTCAACTTCGGTTAGCTGACGATATAGCTATCCCACAACTCCTTCAAAATAATTTTCAGTTAAGTAAACCGGATTTCTTTTTCAAACATATGGTTAAGTGTTTTTTCAAATATCACTTAAAGTCTAATCCAGGTGTTGCCTACAGCAAATTTTAAAACGATGTGCTAACAAATGAAAGTTAATTTTAGTGGTTGTTAACATTTATTCATCAGTTTACTTAGTAGTGCGTCTTCTTTCAAAAGAATTACAAAAAAAAATCTAAAATATGAAAAATAACTTTTTAGATGTTGTTTGGTATAGAAACAGGAAATTACAAGTATCTAAACAACAATTGATACCTATTGCTCAAGAGGCAGTCTAGTGGATAATGCTTTGCTGTTTAAAGTGATGGGAACTAGGTTTCAACCTCAGTGGAAAAAAACACTTATTAGGGGCAAGTATATTAAGCTGACAAGTCTTAAATAGGACGAAACGTATGCCTTGCATTTCACTTCTAGTCACCAAGATGAATACAACTCGTTCAGGGATTGAATGAATTGTATGATGAGCAGTCGGTGAAACCTTTGTGCACGCATTTCATGATCTAACACTCTGTAGAAATATCAAAACGTAATTATTTACTAACAATTACTTTGTTACGCCTTGGTAATGATGCGTGAAATGAATATTCTACAGACTTGGACTGCAGCTAATTAACTTCATACAATGTTGGTGGGGTTGAGGGTACTTAGTGGTGTAACTAATTAAACAATCGATCATTTCTTATGTCATATAACTGCACAATGACTAGGAAACATTATGACATCATTATCATTTGTTTCTTCTGAAAATTCCCGCATCCTTCACTTTTTTAAATGTAAATAATCTTTAAAATAGTTTATGTATACTCTTGAAACGTGTAGTGTTATGACCATTTTATTACAGTGTATGTAATGGGACTTGGGATTATCTCCTTAAATAATTAAAGCAGCGATCTCAATGTTTGCATTTGTTTACCCAAATGGGTTACTCTTATTATTATAAGCATATTATTTGTCCCTTGGGTTCCTAGTGGAACATAGAGATTCAGTACCACATCTCCATTCCACTCTCTTCTCTGCAATCTTTTCAACCTGGCTCCACCAATACCTACAACCTCTCATTCCTTTCTCACACCATCTCCTCCATCTCACCCTCGCCTAACACGCCCAACTCGACAACCTGGCCTGGCGTGTGATGTCCCCCAATGGTCTTCTCAGTCTCTGTCCAATACAATCCATCTCCACTTCCTACTTCTGCATATTTGTTTGGTGATAGGTTGTTGGTTGGTTCATTGCCAGCCAGCCAGCCAGCCAGCCGCCAGCCAGCCAGCCAGCCAGCCAGCCAGCCAGCCAGCCAGCCAGCCAGCCAGCCAGTCAACCAGAGTTCCTCCTTGCTTATTCTTAATACTCTGTCCATCTGGTCTTCAATGACCAGCCAACGTAGGCGGCAGTTGTTGATGAATGTCTACAGTTTGTTGGAAATCGCTTACGTGACACACCAAGTCTCTCAACCATCACATGGAAGCACTGACTTCACTGACATTGGTGTTGAAAATCCGGATGTTGTTCACGCTTTATGCTGAATGCAGTGCAGTGCAGTGCAGTAGATCTCCACACTGATTTCAGGTTAATGAATGTCTGTCTTGCTTTTCCAATCCTGTCTGGCTTTGACGTCCTCATCTGTGCCTTGGCCTAGTGTAGTTGAAACGGTGCTGCCTAGATAGGTGAGAGAGGCCACTTCCTTTGAATTTCTCCCATTGATGGTGATTGTAACTTGTTGTTGTTGGTGGTGGGGTTGCTTTGGTATCATGATCACCTCCATCTTCTCTACGTTCACTTGATGGAAGTCCAGTTTTACTCCTGTCTTCTGTCTTCCCTTCAAAGGCATCACTGAGCTTCCCACTGTGAACTGTTTGTCATGTGGCCTCTTCTCATAGTTGTTGAGTGAGATTGATAAAGATATGTGTCACTCCGTATTTTTGAAGCTTTTGTCAAATTACTTCTAGGTTGACGCTGTCAAAGGCCTTTTCAAAGTCGATGAAGTTGAGGTAAAGGGTTGACTGTCGTTCTGTACTCCGTCCTATGGTGATACGTAGACTAGCGTTCTGATTTGATCCGCACATGATTTCTACTTCCTGAATCCAGCGAACCAGCCTGTTCCGGTCGTAATTTTGAATCTAGTGCATCCTTTAGTCTCTCCAGGATGTTGCTGCATAATATTTTGCTTGGAGTGGACAGGAGCGTGATTCCGTGCCAGTTCTTACGAGGACTTAGGTCACCCTTGTTCTTGAGTTTGACAAGGTAACTCTTCTTCCAATCGATCTGCAGGTGCCTTTCCTTGCTTCCAGACCTTCTGTAATAGTGGTGTGACGGCTGATTTTAGACATATGAATGGAGGGAATTCGAGAAATTAACTAGTATTTCTCTTGGTAATAAACTGACGCAAATAGTCACTAGGAAAATAATATAATATGCAGAAGAAAGTGGAGATGAGATTCATTGGATTGGATGGAGACTGATAAGACCGTTAAGGACATAACGCGTCAGGTCAGTTTAGGCCCTCGAGTGGAATCCAACAAAAAAACGACGAGTTGGGCGTCCGAGGGTGACATGGAGGAAATCATGTGAAGAAGAAACGAAAGCTTGCGAGCAGTCGTAGAGTCAGGTTGAAAAGATTGCAGAGAAGAGAATGAAACGAAGACGTGCTACTGAAGCCTTATGCTCCACTAGCAACCCAAGAGACAAATAATAATAATAGTAGAATATACAGAGGTTTGTCTTAGCATTGTTACTTACTTTAAGTGTTGAATAACCGCTGTATTATGCATTTCATTTCACATATTTTTCACAGAGTACTATAATGCTTTTTATTAAAAGTTCACACGTTTCTGACGACTTCCAAATTATGCCCAAAATGATGATGTAATCTTCTAATGTGAGGTGGTTTTTTCAACTTCTTTTTACTCAGTTGTATTATTTTTGTTTGGTCTGATTTCAAGAAATGTCTCTTTTTAAAATTAAATAAAGTTTTATTCACATCTACATGTAATTATAAACTTGATATCAGTTGTGTAAACGCTAAAAGTCGATAGATGTTATTCGAAATTAACACCAAATAACATTGTATAGTTATTCAACAAAAATGGTGATTACCAATCAATTTTCACCACAAAATCATCAGTGATTATATTTTTATTACCTTTTAAGAGATATTTTCTTTTCAGTAAATATATAGGAGTGAAATATATTCAAGTATTGGTGTCAGTCAGCTAGTTACAGTTGTTTGATGCATAATTTTATCTGATTATATATTTTTGTCTCTTGTATGATATACATACTATGTAGATGAGAAACGCCTAAAGTCTATTACAAGATGGCTAATTACAAACACAATATGAATTGTACAACATAAAGATATATTAAAAATACATATTAGTTAAAATAAAAATGCTTTAATAGTTACATCATTATGTATTTAGATTTATGAACAGTGAACAGGAAGACATTGGACGCCAATCATTAATCTTTCGGGAAATTAAAATAAAACCGGATAACTTTTGACAAATTGATAATAACTTTTAAAAATTTGTTCAATAGACTAAGGTAAAGTTTATATTGTCAGAAAGTTGATTATCTGTATACAAATACATTTTTAACTGATATTCTTGTTTATTTATTTCCAATTATTCATATGATCTTATCTTGATTTTCTTGTCAAATGATATAGAAACAAGATAACTTCTCATCAAGTGAATGTGGCTGTCCTTGTGAACCTTTATCCTTCATAACTGAATTTACTCAGAAATAACAAAGTAAGTTAATTAGGCAAAAAACAAAGGCTACCTACCTATAAACATTTTCATCATAAGTGAACTATTTGTTCATAAATCATATTTCAATCATTTGTATTTATCCTCTGTAATTTTGGCTGAACGTTTTCCATGTTTACAAACCAACTAAGAGCCTATCACCCAACAAATATGCAGAAAAAAGTGGACATGAATTGGGCAAACACTGAGAAGACCGATTGGGGACATCATGCGCGAGGCACTTGAGTGGAATCCAAAGGGGAAATGACAAGTTGGGCATCTCATCTGAGGGTGAGATGGAGGAGATGGTGTGTGAGAAAGAAATGAAAGCTTGTTGGTGGTCATCAAGTTAGGTTCAAAAAACTGCAGAGAAGAGATTGGAATGGAGGCGTGCTATTGGAGCCCTATGTTCCAATAGGAACTCGATGGAAAAATAATATAATAACAATAATTTTCCATGTTCAGTCGTCCTGTCGATATGTTGACAGTAAGCTGTGGACGTCATTAAGAAGTAGAGTAATGGTTTTGTTCAATATGGAAAAAGTCCGTAAAAATATTCACAAAATTCATTTTTATGGTTAGATTAGTTGAAAGAGAATTCCCTGCACCTACTTTTAATAACTATGAATTTTAACTGAGTACTCACTTTACATAATATGTATACGTTGTCAACACAGTGTATTATTTGCTTCAGTTACAAAACTATGGTTTAAGAGTACAAAATACTCTCCATCTGGTAAATGATGATGAAATCACAAGACTAATCAGTAAGTTTCGACTGTTTTTGACGTTGTCAACAATTTTATAAACAAGCTTTCAATAACAATCTCAGCAGTTTCTATCAAAACATACCAAGATATTCGGATCAAATCTTCAACTATACTAGTAACAATGAAATAACGTTATTAAGTTCTGAGATGATGGAGACTATTTATAGTTCAGAGAAATCATTTTGATGTTGACGTCTCACAGCTGGATGGTTTAATTGTGAAGTTTCACTTTCATTCTAGATAACATCATCAGCACGAACTTCAGAAGGAAGTGAGCGATACAGTTTTCTCTACAAGTGACTCAGTAGCTTATCCTGATGATCTTTTGTGTGATTGGTTGTTTCTGCCTGAGTCTTGTTATTGACTCTATATTTATTTCGGTTGGTTGTTCTGATGACCCGAACTCTGACCTTCTTGTTGTTTCTTATTGGTTGGTAGATTGGGTCAGTGTCAGTATGGCTATTGACTGCTGACTGGCCTGAACAAAAAGCTTCCAAAGATTCTCTGGTATTAAATGTATTTCCTCTGTTCAGGGGTTTCAGATTGTCTCAGTCAGATTCATGTCCACAGTTTTCTGAATGCGTTGATATGAGCGAAGCTATCTCATGACGTTTCACTGCTGGTTGGTATTCATGCAGACCAACACCATATTTCTTTCGACTGGGTAACTATGGAAATTCTGGATAGAGGAAGCGTAAAGAATCCCAGAGAATCTTTAGAACCTTGGCATTTAGATCAGTCAACAATCAACAAACATCAGGCGGGCTGCTTGAACCTTGGGCCACCAAATTTATCCATCAAACATTTTTCTTCAAATTCTTTCCTTTCAATTTGTTTTAATCGTTTGAAAATGTCCATTGAGCGTATCATGTACTCTTGCACATTTTAAAGCTGTTTCCAACTCTCCCTTTCTCGAGTCAATAACAAAGCAGAGAAAAAATCTTACATTATATGGAAATGGACTTTTAGGTACAAAAAGGTGCATCATATTTCTGTCCGTCAGATGCTTACCTTGAGTTGTAGATTCTTGTGCCGTCTGAATGAACCGTCACCACCACCACCAAAATTACGCTTGCATTTCTGTTGATTCTTCATTATGAACCGGATGCTCATTCAGAACCAGCTGGCTATTTCATATTATTGCCTTGATTACTGTTATTATTAACATCATGCTGATACAATTACCATTTCCTCTAGAAGTATTGTTCTTGGAGTGAATTTATTGAAAAAGTTACATGCTGAGAATTCCATACTGTCATACATATTGTTTGGAATAAAACGATTATTATTATTATTGATATAATGACATTGACAAAATCTACCAAGCAATAAGTAATAACAAGAAGGTAACAGTTCACGTCCGAAAGACAGCCAACCGGAAAAAATATGGAGAAAATGACAAGACCTAGGCGGAAACAATCAATTATTCACAAGGCCATTAGGATAAACTACTAAAATATATTGCCGAGAAAGCCTTATAACTCACTTCTTTCTGAACTTTGTGCTGATGATGATGTCTAGAATGACTATGATAGCTTAGCGCCTATTCCATCCAACTGTAAGCAGACAACGCCATCGAAATCAGCTTCCTGAGCTACAAATACTCATCATTATCTTATAATCGAACCCGCATCGGATTTTGATAGTGAGTAGTCTCAAACTTTGGTATAGCATCTTTCTTGCTGTTCTTGTTTTCAATGGTTTTTTAATTCATAGTTAACTGATGATGAAAACTGTTAAGCTAATTTCTGTCATATACAGATAAAAAAAAAATTAGAAACGTCGCTTAATGAAAAACATCACAAGGCTATAAACTGAAGTAATTAATTTCTTTGAAGGCTTCTGCCAGTTTCTTTTTTTTCAATTTCTTTATTTACATTTTCTCACCTTGAACATTTTATTGTTAGGATAATGAAATCATCTGATCTACTCACTGGTTTAGCTGAAACCTATTCCGGAAATTTTCGTTTTGTTTTGTTCAGTGATGGATAAAAGAATCTTGATCTGCTGCTTTCATTGTCAATTTTCTGTTTGTTTTTTTCAGATGAATTAAATGAGTTTTTACTAGCAAATAATATCAAACTTCATTTCCTTTTCAATTATTTACTGCATTTTCAAAATAATCTGAAATATCTACGCATTTATCTTTCTTATTTTTTTATAAAGGAAGACAAATTTCATCGTTCAATTTTTTGTACATCAATTCAAATTATTACCATTTATTTCTATAGGTCCAATTTTTTTGTTGTTGAAATCAAATTCTCGCCATTTGTAAATAATGATTAAAACTTTGTTAACAAGTTCATAGCTCCATGGTAAAGGTGAATTGATGGAAGTTGTAGAAACTGCAGAGATCATCAGTAAAAAATGAAGACAACAATGAATGCCAGGACTTTTTATATACTAGACAAAAAAATGGATTACAGCATGGGCAGTGCCACTTTGAAAACTTATAATACATCCAAAGTACGCTTGTGTAATCCTGGCGTAGTATGTCAGAACAAATGACAAATATTTTATATTATTCCTCAACTTTTCAATCTTACCAAAAAGATCTTTTTCAAGAGTACAAATCTGACATTAAGTTTTCAGGTTAATATTCATATTGGCGACCTTTATGATCATCCAAATGGATTGTGATGTGGGACGGAACGAAGATCAATATAGTATAGGTGGGTGAATTAGCAAATCGGTCAAGGAGGCTTTTCTCAGTTGTGCAATTATTCTAGGATAAAAGAAGTTCGAGAGTAAAAAGTTATGAGCCATTAGGGGAAGTAAGAACCAAATGCTACTTGAGAAAAATGAATATTTCAAAATAAAACAATATATAATAATTAATAATGATGGTAATAATGGTCATTTACTTGGTTGTGGCTAGTAGAGGAATCAAGAATACCCGTTTTGTCCTATTTGGGACTCGTCAGTTGGATTTACCTGTACCCCAGTGGGTGATGTTTTTCCCACTGAGACTCAAACCTCATACCCATCGCTTCAACCGAACAGTTCAATCCATTAAAACAACGGAGAATTACAAGCATATCCGTAAATAGTAATAGTTATTACCCGTTGTACAAGAAGTGGCTACGGTGCTTCCGAGGCCTACTGGACAACGCCTTGGCTTTCAAAGCCATGGGCACGAGGTTCGAGTCTCAGTGGGAACAACATCACTCGCTGCGACGCAGGTACATCCAGCTGGTGAGCCCCAAATAGGACAAAACGCGTACCCTTGATTCCTGTACTAGCCACAAT